CACTGATAATAGCTGTTGATCACACTAATGTAACTGCTGTTGATCACACTGATAATAGCTGTTGATCACACTAACGTAATTGCTGTTGATCACACTGATAATAGTTGTTGATCACACTAATGTAACTGCTGTTGATCACACTGATAATAGCTGTTGATCACACTAACGTAACTGCTGTTGATCACACTGATAATAGCTGTTGATCACACTAATGTAACTGCTGTTGATCACACTGATAATAGCTGCTAATCACACTAACGTAACTGCTGTTGATCACACTGATAATAGCTGTTGATCACACTAACATAACTGCTGTTGATCACACTGATAATAGCTCTTGATCACATTAACGTAACTGCTGTTGATCACACTGATAATAGCTGTTGATCACATTAACGTAACTGTTGTTGATCACATTAACGTAACTGTTGTTGATCACACTAACGTAACTGTTGTTGCCATTTGTTTACAAGACTATACACGTATGTGGATACCTGTCTGCGTGCTCCTGAAGTGCTATAGGTACTTAACATGATTAAGTCACTCAGATCTAGTATGAGCTTATGTATTGCTATAGAACATATTACATGATAAATGGGCTTTTTTTATTTCTCATAGATAAAGCAAAGAGTTCTCCAAATGCTCAACCTTAGAGGCGGTTCAATAAAGACTATACGGAATATCATGCGAGGTAATGCTGATATATTTGATATATTTGTTCTTGTCAAGAGCTCTTCGTCCCTCTGACATATTACATTCGACACATCATGTCTTTTAATAGCACAGTACAATACAGTAATGTTGACGGTATGTATGTGCGCAATATTTAATGATTCACTCACTCCTTTGTGCGGCAGAGCTGGAGGTTGTTTACACCACTAACTGCGCTCACGCAGCCTGCAAAGGCTGCTGGATTAATCATGTAGGAATGTGATCATGTTAAAGGGATACTGCACCCTTGAATTTTAGGGTATATTAGGATAGTACGTGCATAAACAATAGCATATACGTACAAATGTATCCATCATGTGTTCATATTAATTTTGTCATAAAACAACAATTAGTTCAGAAATCTTGATTTTTGGCTGCTGACATAACACCCCATGATGATGTTGTTTGAGTTGTTTATAAAATATTGCAATCCTTCTCCTCTTATATTAATAAATAAGTAATGCCCTCGGTCTGTAGCCTGCAGCCGAAAAGTTGTGATGTGCAACTTTGAAAGTAGCTAGGCTAGTAGTGGTGCATGTTGTCGTTGTAAGCAACGATACAGCCATTAGTTTTAAAATAAAATAGAAACAATTTCTAATGAATATTGAACGATTATGTAGCGTAATATAAACTTATTTTAACTGAAAATATGCAAGGTCACGTGTCCCTTTAAAGCGACCCTCGCCATCATGCCAGCTGTGTGCTTCTTACGCCACGCGGTGAAACGTGCGGTCAATGTGGAGTGATTAACTTCAGCGCGTAATGGCTGCGAAGCTCATTCTTCATCCTGTGCTTGCGCTTGTGTAGAATACGCAGGGAACATTGGCGACGACAAGGACCCAGAGACCAGAGATGCCGAACAAAAGCGATTGCTGCAGCTCGTCGACAAATTCTAGCCGGCATCTAATCGAGATCTTCGCGCAGGTTAGTCGCGCTCGCGTGCATGCTAATCACACGCAGATGGCAGCATGCATCACGTCAAGTAGGAAAGCGTTACGCTGGTTCATCCATCCCCCCTCCCCTACCCTTCGACAATTTAGCCAAATTAGATTGTAAATAACCGGATTTACCTAAATAAAATTAGAGAAAAAAATCTAAATATAGCCAACAAACAAATTATTGCCCAGCTAAGAGTACCTGTTCTTAGAAATCGCTGTGGTGATGACAGACCGCAGTGCTCGACCGACTGCCAAGCACGTACACAACTCCTCGATCAACGTTTCTCATGCTCTCTCGTTGTTTCCAGCATGGAAAGGAGTTCCACGTGCATAGACAGAAGCCAAGGTCTCGCGAGAGGAGCAGCAAACGCGATTCGGCGCCCAGGCCTGCGCGCATCTGGCGAGCGACAATGCGGCGGCGTGGGGCGGGGGGGGGGGGGGGGGGGGTGAAGCTGCGCAGTAGAGCTCCAGCCAGGCTTAATCTTGCTCCCCTCTCCCCCGAGGCCATGCTTCCTCGTCCGCTCTTTGCCGCCGCGTCTGCGAGCGCGAATCTTGCCGATTTAGGTCGCATGGCGGGTGGCGGCGTGGTCGAAGGCAGTGCGTGTGGTGCTAACGGAGAAGGGGGGGAAGAGCTCTCTGATAGCTTAACAAAAGTATTTAGTGTGAAGATTGTGTAATACATTGTGACTTGTACGTAACGTGTGGAGACCATGGACGCCACGGCGGATTGACGGAGCCATAGTGTTCAGTTCTGGATCACGTTTTTCTTAATTTTGTTGCGTCCTTGGTGGTACTGTAGCGTGCACCCTGCAGAGGTGTGATCCATTGTTGCAAAATGTCCAACGTTTGTAATGATTGTTTATGAAGTGAAAATAAATGTCCTTTTGTAAGTAATCTAAACACGAGGTTCTCGTTGGATTCGTTGCTTGATCATTTTCACGATAAGTGATAGGATTTATTTTGGGCTGAGACCCATGTGGGAAAAATAGGTGATGTTATCGCTAAAGTCTGAAAGGCTACAGAAATTCTCAGTGAAGCCTATTTGCTTCTATTGGTTTAGCCCACCAGACATTAAACGAATGCTTACAACATAGTATTTGTAGCTGTAGTAAATGTTATATAGTTATATAAAATATATTAAAATGTAGTTACACAATAAATAATGTTAAACGTAATTGTATATTTGTAGACGTACTGAATGATATATTCTGATGAACATTGTGGAAATTTGAGTTGTTGCATTTAGAAAAATTATTCGAAAATTACATATACAATTTGAATTTGAATTATTTTTCGAAACACTTTATTGAAATGACACCACTAAAATAAGACATTGCTATACACATCAGCCTTTCTGTTCATTCGTATTACGTAATCGAATGATACCATTCTTTATATATACATTTGAAATGTTTTATATACATTTTGTACACCGTACTCCTGTATTTTTAACAAGAGAAAAGCGGGACTTGTTCACCTACAACATGCAGCTCTTCATGTATAATGCGCGCTCGTCCATCACAGAACGAGAGTCAGAGCCGGATTCTTTAATTGGTTACTATAATATCTATATAATCTCTATGTCGTGTATTACTGGTAGAAATAGCGCCTTGTAAAATATTATATAGAATTATGTTCTTGACATGAGCCCATTATGTTCGATAATCATCATCTGTTAAATTGCGATTTGCTTTGTCATTGTTGAGATACCATAAACACTGCAGAATTTGAACAAAGCTGTGATTTTAATATTTAACAGTCATTTTCGCTCTCACACACGCCAGCACGCACGCACACATATCCATTCATAACACTTGCCACATATACATACGCGGACACGCCACGAATTTATGCAATAGCGGTATCCACTGAAAATGTTTTCATGTCGCTAACGCATAAATACATACATTTATATACATTTATATATACATGTAGTAATGATCCAATCAACGCGAACAACCCGTTCCGTTTGCGCGTTTGGTGTTTCTTGGTGCACATTAGTTGATCCATGTGCTCCGTTCCATGTTCCGTGCGCACGTTTGCTGCTCCATGTGTTCCATGCTTCGGGCATGCGTTACGTGTACCATGCGCGCGGATCCTGTTCCATGCCTGCCTTTACTGTCCTGTGCGTTCCCTGTTTCATGCACGCGTTCCCTGTTACACGCGTTTACTGTTCCGTGCGTTCACTGCTCCATGCGTACTCTGTTCCACGCACGCGACGCCTTTTGCATGCGTGCGTTCACTGTCCCATGCGTGCGTTCACTGCCACGTGCGTTCCCTGTTTCTTGGGCGCGGTCTCTGCTCCATGCGCGCGTTCACTCTTTCGTGTTCCATACGACAACTCGTTATTCCACATACGAGGTGTTGGGTGGGTGGTTGAAGGGCTGGCGGCCTGTTTAGTGCGTTCAATGTTCCATGCGTTTGCCGTTCCGTGTGTTCACTGTTCTGTGCGTTCAATGTTCCGTGCGTTCAATGTTTCGTGCGTTCACGTCAGGCGTTGTTCAGCACGACAGCGCCCGCCGTCTGCTCGTCTGCGTTGTCGTTGTCCGTGACGAGGAACGCGATGCCGTTCATCTTGTCGCCGCCGCCGCCGGCCGCCGTGTCCGTGCTGCTCACTCCTGCCGAGCTGGTCGTGTCGAGACTGTCGACGTCGTCGCTGCACGTCGACGTGTCCAGCGCCGACGACTCCAGCGCCTCCGCGTCGTCGTCGTTCGAGCACTCGCTGCTGCAGTTGCCCAGCGGCGAGAGGGTGGCGCCACAGTCAGACGGCGCGCGAGACTCCAGCGCCCTGCTCGCCGCATCGTCGACTCGTGGCGCCGTCTGGTGGCCGACGACGACGTCGATGCCGTGCGACTTCTTCATGTGCCGCTGGTAGTTACGCTTCAGCGCGAACGTCTCGTTGCAGACGTGGCAGACGGCTTCCGCCGGAAGGTCGTGCGCCGTCTTCAAGTGCTGCCACAGCGCGGCCGTGTCGGCGAACTGCGCCCCGCAGGTGGCGCACGCGCCGCGCGCTGCGTCGCGGAAGTGCGACTGTATGTGGCTCTTCACGTGGTTCTTGCGCGCGAACATCTTGCCGCACTGCGGGCACATGAACGGCCGGCGGCCCGCGTGCGACTTCATGTGCGTCTTGCGGTTCTCCTTGCGCGCAAAGCACTTCTTGCAGATCGGACACTCGTACGGTTTCTCGCCGCTGTGCGAGCGCAGGTGGATCGTCAGGTTGCGAGCTAGCGCGAACTCCTTGCCGCACGTCGGGCAGCGGCACGGCGCGCAGCGCGCCGCGTGCAGCTTTGCGTGGCCCTGCAGGTTGCTGAGGCACGGGAACTCGCGGTCGCAGTCGCCGCACGCGTACGTCGTCTTGCGGCGCGACGACTGCAGCTCGCCCATCGAGTGCGTCTCGAAGAAGTGCTGTCGCATGTCGGCCGAGTGCGCGAACTCGAGCGTGCACAGCGAGCACTTGTAGGCGATGCTGCCGGCGGCGCGGTGGATCTTCATGTGGTTGTCGATGCTGTTCTCGTTGCTAAACGTGCGCCCGCAGTCGGGACACTCGAACTCCCGCTTCGCATCCGGCGAGTGTTTCTCCGGCGGCGGCGGCAGCGACGCCATGATGTTTTTCGGGCTGAGCGTCGTCAGCGGCGTCTTGCGGCTGGGACTGCGTGGCGCGTCGGCAGACGACTTGCTGCCTGGTCGGTCTTGCTGCTGCTCCCCGGAGCCGGAACCTCTACTGCTCGGCCGGTCCGCGCGCGTTCGCTTCCTGCTCGTCTTCTCGGAGAACATGCCGCCTCCCTTGCTGCCGGGGCGGTCGGGGAACACAGCGCCACCTACGCCGCCGTTGTGCGGACTCAGTCGGCTCGGCTCGCCCGGCGACACCTGCTGCAGTACCTGTATCAGCTGCGAGGTGGCGCTGCTGTCGTTGTCGGGACTTGGTACGGGAAACGCGCCTCCGCCGGTGGCGCCGCTCTCTCCACCGTAGGGCGTCTTCGCGTAGTTGTGCTCGAGCACGTGGTTCTCCATCTCCGAGCGGAAGAAGAACTTCTGCGTACACTTGCTGCACTCGTACGGCTTCGGCGCCGTCGTGTGATCGACGACGTGCGCCTGGACGGCGGCCGACGTCGCGAAGACGGCGCTGCATGCGGGACAGGCGAATCCCGCGCAGCCGGCGTACGTGTGCTCAATGAGGTGGCACTGCAGCTTCGCCGGCGAGTCGTACACCTGCAGGCAGAGGCGGCACGCGTGCGCCGTGCCCTCGGTGACGACGTGCGTGATCACGTGCAGCTTGATGGCTTCCTCGCTCGCGAACGCCTCCTGACACTTGATGCACTGGTACATGTGCTGCTTGTGCGTTGGCTCGTGCTCGCGCAGCTCGGCGGCGCTCTCAAACTTCACGCCGCACTCCTTACAGCGCGGCTTGCTGGCCGCTGGGGGCGCCACCACCGCCGCCGCCGCAACCGCCGATGGTGGCTCCTCCTTGCGGGTCATCGCGTCGTAGCAGACGCCACAGGCGGTGATCTGCGTCGTGTTGGCTCCGGGCACCAGCTGCACGACGACGTCGTGCGAGGCGTCGGGTGCGCAGGGTACCTTGCACAGGTAGCAGTGCGTCTGCGCGGCGGCGGCGGGCGCCGGCGGGGGCGGCGGCGTCGGCGGCTGAGCGCCGTAGTGAAAGCTGCCGTGCGCCTGCAGCTCGAGCATTGACGTCAGCGTCTGTCGGCAGACGATGCACTGCACCATCGAGCCGTCGGTGCCGTGCGCGCGGCTGTGCTCGTAGAACTCCTCCTCCGTCGCGACGGCCTCCTTGCAGTGCACGCACGCGTCGCCCCGCACGACCTTGCAGTGCTGCAGCTTGTGTTCGGCCAGCTCTGGTATAGAGTGCAGCACCTGCGCAAGATAGCAGACGAATCGTGACGCCGGTGCGAAGATGGAGGTGTTTTCTTTTGGGGGATTTTGTATTTGTTCGCGTCGGGGGAGAATTAGAAGGGTTCGAACAAGCATGCGAATTTCTGAGACAGTATGTATCTACATTACTTTTCGCTCTGCCACAGACGTCCACAGGGTGAGGGTACCATGTTGGCATAACTATCACAATGTGGCTGGAATGCGTATGATTAATCCACCGGAATCCAGACTTAATAATATTAGATCAGTTCAGGCAATTTTTATAAAAACGCCCCCGTGAAGCGGATTGGTGGATTGTGGTAAAAGTGATCATTGATAAGTTGGACTGTCCTCATTGACACTTACAACTTGACATGATCGTCAGCTATACTGAGTAAACAGCTCCCTAATCAGATCGCTAATAATTTTTATGTCCGAAAATGTCGAGGATCAAATCTACACCAACAAAATGCCTGCTGTAACAGGCTGTGCTCTATCTGATAGAATCAAACTGTGTCATGGGTTAATGTGTGTATGTGAGTGTGGTTGTACGTGTGCGTGCGTGTGTGCGTGTGTGGGTGTGCGTGCGTGCATGCATGGTTGTGCGTGCGTGCGTGCGCGTGTATTTGCGTGTGCTTGTGAGTGAGTTTCTTGAGAGGCGCCATCCAGTGATGAGCGCCGCCTTTGGGCGAGGTGGTCGCCTTCTGCGTACCTTGTCGCAAATGTTGCACTTCTGCGGCCCGGTCGCCTGCATCGGGTCCGAGGCCGCGATGGGGCTGGCAGCCTTCGCAGGGGGCGCTGCGATGCTGTGCATCTCCAGGCGGTGCTCCTGCAGCTGTTCCGACTTGGCGAACGTGATGTCACAGATATTGCACTTGATCACCGATCGCTTCTCGGTCGCCGGCTTGCTCGCTGACGACGCAGACGACTATGAACAAAACAACGGCACTGTAAGAGAGGCTCACTGTCGTAGAGGCAACGTCACGTATCTGCTGCTACTACTATACTATTAGCTATATGTTTCTTCAATGGGGAGGCACCTATTTGTATTGCCTATCGAATATATTATTCGGGAATCTTACGACATCGGTATCATTTGTGATCGCTCTACGTTTGGTCAAAGCTACGTATCATAATGAAAAAAAGTTTAAAAATAAAAGTAAACGAAAACCAAAGTAAATCAAATGATTTTATTACGGAATTTTACGGTACATCAGCCCTTCGCCCATTTTTTAAAGATATATAAAGTATGTCAACATTAAGTATTACAGTAACGGTAATCTTTGCAGTTCGTACGCCTTCTCTCACGCAAATCAATACTGATATTTTATCATCATAATATTGCAATATAGGTACCTTTGTAGTTCGGTGACTTGCTCTGGCCGCAGCACTGTGCTTCTGCTCCGTGTGTTTGTCTAGTAGGAATTCGACGTGGAAGGCTTCGTCACACAAACGGCATGCAAATTGCTTCTGGTGAGTTGTAATGTGCAACTGAAGTTCGATTTCACTGCTAAATCCTTCCTGACAGAACAGGCACCTGGAAACAATGCGCGTTTCGAAGCTTTAGAAGGTCATCATTTCCAACATATGCATAAAGGCCATGGCGGGTATAGGTTGCTAGGAGACGTTCTCGGCATTGACCGGGTAAAATTGATAGCATGGCATTAGTTAGCATTTGTGATGGAAGGTATGGCAGCGTGTCATATGCACATGAGATATAGTGGTGCGCCATTGTGAGGGGAAAGTATGGCTTGACTGCCATTTGTATAATAAAGTTTAAAACTAAAATTTACAACACATACGGAATAATAACAGGGCCGTAGCAAGGTAAGGGGGCAGCTGCCCTCATAGAAATGTAGATACAATACGTGGTCAATAGCGGTCACGAAGAAAGCTTTTCAGAACACACCCTAATAGAGATAGAGATGTATATTCATGTACTCCTGACTTTTCAATCGACATGACGTCTGTATATTATCAAGAGTCCATAATAGACAATTCTATTATTGAATTTTCTATTATAGACTCGTGATATTTATAACAGCTATGAATTGTTTCTTGCATGAAAATATTTCTAAAGGCACACACACGCGCACGCATGGAAATATTAGAACAGTATTCTTGGGCTTGAGTTGGGCTTTACTTATACAAATGAAAAGAGGCTCATCGTCGTGAGATTCTCTGCTAGTAGTTCTAGAACTAAATTTCTATAGCCCTTCGCTCTGCCATAGGCCTGTGGCACTCGGCGTGCAGAGCGAAGGGCTATAGTTCTAGAGCTAGTCTGCTAGCAGATGTCTCGATTCGGAGGAAAGGCATGACAGTTGTGACTTCTTTATTGTAGCATTATGCACTGCACTTTATGGTAGGGAGGTTATTCGTGTGAGACGCAAGGGAGAGTTATGTTATTTGTAGCGTTGCAGCAGAGGAAATGTCACAGACACGAACAAAGTGCGTCTAATAATAGTAATTAACAATAAGAAGAAGAAGAAGAATAACAAGAAATAAGAAGAACGAGATGAATATGAAGATGATGAAGAAGAAGAAGAAGAAGAAGAAGAAGAAGAAAAAAAATAATTACTAATAATAATAATATTCACTATGTGAAATAAGTGGGGTGGGAACCTATATGTTTATCAAACTCGTCGTAATAATGACTCATCGTAAGAAACCGTTACAAACAGTTAGAAATAATCACATTGATATATAATCTCTAGAGGGTTATTGGAAGAATGAGTATTGGATTCGTACCCACTGGGAGCAATGAAATTGAAAAATATTACCAGACGTTGGGTTGCCTGCTATTACTGTGGCACGTGGTGATCTTAAGATCTCAAATGTTTACTTATAAATCCGTATGTAGGGTCTTTGTTTCTGGCAGTAACGTACCTGTAAGGTTTGCCCTTTCTAAGGTGCGTAACCTTCACGTGTAGCTGCCACTCCATCTCCGAGCGAAACAGAGTACGGCAACTCGTACACTTGAACAGCTTGCATTCGTTGCTGTGCTTCACGGCAAAGTGAACCTGTATTGTCACCTTGGAATCAAAGATTTCTTGGCACAGGGAGCACCTGGAAAGCAGCAGAGGCAAACGCGATTAGCTTGTATATGCGTCAATACATTGTAGTATGACGAATTTACAATACTATTGCAAGATCTTCGACAATCTACGCGCCACGTGTAACCCATACCTACGCATGTAACTGTAGCTCGCTGCTTGCATGCAAATGCCTACCTGAAAATGTGTCTACCTTTGTAACCATTAGAGGATAGCGGGTAGGTAGTAACTACCTACCCGCTATCCTCTCCACCTGTGAGCGTAGCTGCAAGACCATCTACCGGGAAACCTACCTGCTAGGTCATTCACCTGTGAAGGCAGTTGCAAGACCACCTACCTAGAAACCTACCCTCTAGCCTATCCCCCGAACCGTACCGTATAAGCATCTATTCGATCTTTATTATCGACCTATGCTACCTCTATACGCGCACATGTAGTTAAAGCCTATGCGAACGCTAATAACCCGAGTAATGTTTAGCTATGTTATTTTTCAACTATATGCATTGGTAAAAAAAATTATTAAACACTAAACGTATTTTTAACACGATTTTGTAAAGAAACTGTGAAAAACGCGTGTCGTGTGACGTCACATGGATGACGTAGTTTTGGGAAGTCTCGATTTCTCGAAACACGAGTGAGCTCGCGGGGACATTGTGCAGTAGACCGCGTCTATAGTATGCGCACCTGTAGAGGTGATGGGCGTGGATGTCCATGAGATGCTTCTGCAGTTCGTCGGGCTTCAGAAACAGCTTGACGCAGCTCTGACAGCCGTACTCGGTCGTCGACGACATGTAGTGCGTCAGCACGTGACCGTCGAGCTGATCCTCGGCGGGGAACACCTGCTCGCAGTGCGGGCAGTGGAACGCCGCCGCCCCGGAGTCGAGGTGCGACTTCTGGTGGTCGCGGAACGCCTGAAAGTCCGGCAGCGCCGCGTCGCACTGGTTGCACATGAACACGGTCGGCGACTTGAGCGTGTCGCTGGGACTCTTGCACGGGTTGGCCACACTGCCGCCGCTGCTGCTGCTGTTGCTGCTGGCGGCGGCGGCGGCGGCGGCGGCGGTGGTAGCAGTGGTGGTAGGTGAGAGCAGAGACTTACTCGAAGCCGATCGGGTTTTCTCCAGGAGACTAGCTGACGTCGGCGTGAAACTGCTGTCGGCCCGCAGCCAGCCCGACGACGACGTCGCAGCGGCAGTCGACGGCGGGTTGTTCTTGCTGCGGCCGCTAGACGGAGCCGCAGCAGCGCCGCGACTTTCAGCCGGGGTGAGACGGTGCGGGGTTCTGCTGGCGGCGGGACTCACCTGCGCGCTGATCAACGACACAGCGGCCGGACTCACCTGAGACGCCGGAATCAAGATGGCGGGCGGCTTCGACATCCCGGCCGCGCTACCGCCGCTGCTGCCGGTCGCCGCCGTCGTCTGCTGCTTCTGCGGCGGCTGTTGCTGTTGTTGTTGGCCGGGCGACGCGTGCAGCAGCGCGACGTGCTTGCGAAGCATGTCCTTGTTCATGAAGCGCATGCCGCAGTACTTGCACTGCACGGTGTCGCGCGTGTGCGCTATCTCGATGTGCTCGTACAGATTGAACTCGCTCTGGTAGCGGCTGTTGCAGTACGGGCAAACGTAGACGCCGATGCCGACCATCGACGCCTCGCACTTCTTCACGTGCACGTCGTACTTCTCGCGGTTGAAGAACATGCGCTGGCACGTGTGGCACGTGAGCATCTTGCCGTCGCGTTCGCGACTCTTGCTCGAGTTCTTGCCGTGCGTCTTGTGATAGTGTATGTAGACGCCGTCGAGGTTGCTGCAGCGCTTGCTGCACGTCGGACAGATGTTGACGCGATCCGGTCCGTGCTGCTCGCGTATGTGCGTCTCGAGCGACGTCTTGCCGGCGCACTGGGTATGGCAGTGCAAGCACTTGTAGTTGTTGACGCTGGCGGTGACCGCAGCCGCGGCTCCCGCGCCGCTAGCGTCGTGCGTTTTTGCGTGCAGCCTGAGCGCCGACGCGGTCCCGAACGTCGCCGGGCAGCGCGAGCAGCGGATACCAGGCGGCGGCGACGAGGGCGACGATGACACTGTCGTCGTCGTCGTCTCCGCCGCACCGTCGGGGTGCTCGTGGCTAACGTGAGACGTGAGTGCGGCCGATGTTGCGTATTCTCGCTGGCAGATGAGGCATATGAATCGGACGCTGTCGTGGTTCTTCTCGTGAGCCTTGAGGTGATCGCGTCTGACGAAGGCCATGTCGCACTGCACGCACTGATACTTCTTCTCACCTGAAACAAGCCACGACGTGTACGCGTGTGTGTTGGGGATCGCATGTGGGAGTGTGAGTGTGTGTGTGCACGCATCTCACCCGAGGCAACTATCGTTAGCATATGAAGTACGCCTGGAATCAAAACTAATATGGGGTCTACGTCATCTTGAAACTAACGTCACGTCTCGGCAACCAAGCTACATAGGTGTCTTCACACGTGATCATAATTTGAGAATGGTGTAGAAATGTGTAGAAAGGTGAGAATGCGTATTGGCGAACATGGCGATTCTAGACTGTTTTAGAGGCGAGCATACAGTTATTAATACCACGTTATTGTTGGTTTTTATTATACGCAGTTATAGTGATATGGCCTATTGGAGTTACTCTTATAAGTCCTCTTCTATACTCATTAAATCGTTAAAAAAAATCAATAAATAGCTGTAAGCAGAGAATTTCCATTTGTTTTGTGAGCGGTAAACTCGCGTGTTTTTATTTCAAATATAGGATATACGTGTGTTGAAATAAATCTGCTCATCCTAATCACAAACAAGTGCCGCGGAGCGACAGCGCTCATCTCACGTCTACTGCGGTGACTCTGTGGTGGAGTGGTGGGATTCTAGTAAACCCTGTTAGTACCAAATGTGTTCACATACGCGCCGAAACAGTGGAAAGCACAGGGATGGTATCAGGAACCTTCTCGAAGAAATGTTCGTTGGGATCGTTATGAAAGTTGCCACGAGATGGCGCGTACGTTTATGTGTCTTAAGATTAAAGATGGAAGCTACCATCGTACGTAGTAGCAACAACTAGTTGCAAGACAGAATAGGTAAGCACTCATCCATTTACCTACGCAAGCCTACAGGCTGAAATAAAGAGCTGCCATCTGTAACTAATTAACGCAGGCAAAAACTACACAGTACTATCACCACCACATGCACTGGCAGTGGCATAAGTTACATGTAACACACTGACAGTGCAGAATGCCATAGAAATTATACGATTTAAGGAGCATAAACATTCTTCAACCAAATTTAGCTTTTGAAATTTTATTGTGACATTGTAGCCTCATACGTCCAGGCATGTATAGATTCTACTAGCAAACCCGGCAGTCAAATTCTCTCTAACAGTAAACAAATCCATGTTTAACTCTCCTCTTGAGGGTCAAAAGATTATCCGACACTTACTCTTCGCATGTCAGCGAAAGTACATTCGATGGTCCTTCAATAAAAGCTCAAACAATGGTAGGTCACGCTGAAACAAAAAAGTTTTTCAATCGCTCCGTCAGGACATGTCCTATGAAATGGTTCTAAATCTGCCCCTGTTCCCTTGACCCTTTGACTGCTGACCTCAATTTCGGCACATGATGCTTTTCTACCATCGGCCTTGCTATACACCGACTATCCACGAGCCCCTAGGTCGCGCGTTTAGATTTAGTGCCGCAACGTCTTGCCATTCCCCTCCCTATTCACCTCTCAAGTTAAGGACCGGGAATGTTCCCTTCTTTCTCACCTCCTTGACCTTTATCCTTGACCCCAGCTTCGACATCAACTCGTTTTCATGGCATTAAACCCCCCCCACGTCCCTGATTTTTCGAATCCGTACGTCGAAAGCCTTTGATTTGTACCAACTGTTGACGACGCCACGACGCAACGGACGGACGCACAGGACGGACTCACGCCGGACGTAATACGTCAATCGCGATTCTAACAAGGTGCATCTGACTATGTCAGATGAGCTTAAAAATAACTGACGCCCCGTCCGAGATTTTTATCTACGTTGTATCACCTTATTTTCACGTAACAAATTGGGTTTATTACACACACGTATGTCTAGTATGTACGGCCAGCCTACATTACTGCTCGACACGCGCTCTTGTGCGTAGGATAGTGCCATGCCTGCCCGCGATGTCACACGTCGAGTAACATTGATGATGAATAAATGTAAATGTCTTCTATCCATTTATAATACGATCAAATATACACATTTATTTACTTATTATTTATTTATTTATTTATTTATTTATTTATTTATTATTTTTTTTTATTTTTTTTATTTTTATTTTTATTTTTTTATACTCATTTATTTATTTACTCGTTTATTTATTTACATGTTCTCCTTGCGATGAGAGTGTAACTCGTCAGTTCTGATCTTGATCAGCGGGACAACCGGCACCGGTTAGCGGCAGCGGCCGTGCGTGGCGGATTGTCGCGCTCTCTCCTTCGTGGTTGCATCACTTACCGGTGTGAGACTTCGCGTGCCGATCTCGGCTGCGCTTGTGACGAAAGCGCTTGCTGCAGACGCCGCACGGATGACGTAGCACGTCGGCGTGCTCCTCCTCGTGCTGACGCAGCGCCGACGCCGAGGCGAAGGCGCGCTCGCACAGCCGACACGGGTGCAGTCCGTCTGTCGTCAGCACGCTCGACTCGCTGTCCGTGGCGCTGCAGACGGACGCACTGCCGCTTCCGGCACTCGCCGCGTCCCAGCCGCCGCGTGAAGCCGGACGTCCGCCGCATTCGTCACCTGCGGACAGAGGAAATGGAACGCGCGTATTTAGAGCCGAATGATGGCAGTGGTGCGGTGGTGACACGCGATGTACATGGCGCGACTTGTGCGAGAGGCGAGGTGTTAGGGTCACACTTATACGCACGCGAGCGTATATCGTCGCACGCACGCTGTTGACGACAATGTTGGCGATATCGACATCGGATGTTGCGATCGCCGGCTTTCGTTCATTACACCGTCAGTCGCGAATTAAGTTGTTCTTAATGATCAAAATAGATGTTTTTGTACTCAATTGCTGTACAGAATAAGCTTCTACCGCAGTTTATTCTTTAACCGGATTGGTTAAGTCGTGAGGGAGGCGGGGGATTTTTTAATTGAAATTCCTAAGCGCCTGCGAAAACGGCTGTTTCTCAGACAAACAATGCAGCAGGAGTGTACGGTGCCAGCAGAGACAAATCTTAATTCAATAGTCAGCTGAGCGGACAGAGATATGGATGCACTGCCACGTATATACACGATTAACCTGCGCCACAACTATACTACCAACACACGGCCACGCGTAGGTAATCTCTATATGCCTGCACCACACTGCAGTTTCCGCTCGGCATCCCCATGTATTTTCGCGCGTTCGCTATTGCTACTAGAGCTTTCGGTGGGGCGGGGAGGCGGGGTGACAACAAAGCGCATCCATCCTGTGACGTATTGCTGCTATCCGTAACGCGACGCTATAGCGTCGGTTGTCTAGTCAGTGTCACGTTTACACATGCAGTCTGCGGCGACGGGCGTGTATAGCATTTAGAACAGCGAACGGTAGAACGACCACATACACATACGCACGCGCGCAGACATACACACAAACAAACACACACATACACACACACGCGTGCACACAGACACAAACACACGCGCGCGCGTGTATGCGCGCACACACACACAAACGCACACACGCATGTGTGCGCGCATACACAGACACGCAAACGCACACGCAAACACGCGCGCGCGTGTATGCGCGCGCGCACACACACACACACACACACACACACACACACACACACACACACACACACACACACACACACACACACACCACACGCGCGCACACACACACATGTACATGTACATACACATACATGTACACGATATATATTCACATGTAATATACATACACATACAAACGCGCAAGCACACGCGCACGCTCAAACGCACGCACACGCGCACGCACGTACGCACACACGCGCGCACGCACGCGCGCACACACACACACGCGCACGCACACACACACACACACACACACACACACACACACACACACACAC